ACTTATAAGCATGTGTGGGTAACCATGGACATAGACAACAATCCTGGGGGAGGGGCGAGATTGGGAGGAGGGTGTCAATAGAAGAAAAATGAGAAACATCTGTAATAAAAATAAAATAAATAAATAAATAAATAAATTTTTAAAACCTCACAAGGTGTTGAAGAGAAAAAAAAAGGACAGAAGATCTGGATAGAAATGTCTCCATAGAGAACATACAAATGGCCAAGAGACATGAAAAATTCCTCAATTTCAGTAATTATCAGAGGCATGCAATTTAAAATGAGGTATCACCTCACACCTGCCAGAATGGCTACCATCAGCTGATGAGATGAGAAAGGGTATTCTAATACCCCAGTGGTGGGAGTACAGACTGGTGTTGCCACTGTGGAAAACAGAGTAGAGTTTCCTCAAAAGGTTAAAATTAAAACTGCCATTTGAACTAGTGGTGCTACTGCTAGGAATACATCCTGGGTATCCTAAAACACCAATCAGAATGAATATATGCACCTCTATGTTCATAGCGGTGCTATTTACAACATATCAGATCTGATAAGAGCCCAAGTGTCTTTCAGTAGATGAGGAGATAAAAAAGCTGTGGTATGCCCTGTCCAGTTTTGCTCAGTGGTTAGAGCGTTGGCTCGTGGACCAGTGTCGAGGGTTCAATTTTGGTCAAAGGCAGGTGCCTTGGTTGCATTTCGATCCTTGGTCCTAGTTGGGGTCATGCGGTAGGCAACCGGTTGATCTCTCTCTCTCTCTCTCTCTCTCTCTCTCTCTATCTCTCTCTCTCCCACTCTATCTGAAGATAAATGAAAAAAATGTATCCTTGGGTGAAGATTTAAAAAAAAAAGCTTGCTACATTTATGCAATAGAATACTAAACAGGTGTAAGAAAGAATGATCTCTTACCTTTTGAGACAGCATGGAGGATTCTGGAGAGTATTATGCTAAGTGAAATAAGCCAGTCAGAGAAAGACAAGTATCACATGATCTCACTTATATTAGGAGGACTGTTGAACAAAATAGATCCAGAGACAGGGAAGCAGGGAACAGATTGTGAAACCTCAGAAGGAAATGGTTGGGGAGTTGGGAAGAGATAAACCAAAGAATTTATATGCATATATGCATAACTAATGGACACAGACAATATTGTGTTGAAGGCAGTGAAAGCAGGGACTAGGAGTTAGGGGTGGGGGGGAAGTGGGTATGTAATACTTTCAACAGTAAAGATGAAAAAAAAAAGACTTGGATCATGGCAGCTAAAACAATTTAGAAATGATTAGAAGTGGGTTACATGGAATCCATTGGTGATAGATTAGGGAAGTGAAAGCAAATGGGGAGGAGAACCTCTGGGACTGGATGAAAAGTGAAAGGATAGACACATACATGTTTTACATAGGTGGGTATAGTTGGCCCTCGTTTATCATGGTTAATCAGTTCCAGACTCTACCGCGATAAATGATTTTCTGCAGAATAGGATTCTTCATTTATAAATCAAATATTTTAGCAGTTAGAGCATAGAAAACCTGTTTATGACTTTCTAAATAAGTTTTTTAACATTATTAGAACCCTCTCATAAAATAACACCCTTTAGTCACCACTACACTCATATTACCCAATAAATTAGAGAAAATAAGACATATTAGATGTTGCAGATATCATATTATTGTACATTTAATTACACACACAGTTCTTACACACAACCACTAACCTATGAAAATAGTGCAACTTGTTTGACGATGAAGCGATGAAGATGAAGAGATGTACTGCACAGCAAAGAAGAGCAAGGCCCTGGCTGGTTTTGCTCAGCGGTTAGAGCATTGACCTGCAGTCCAGAGAGACCTGAGTTTGGTTCCCGCTAAGGGCATGTACCTCGGTTGCAGTTTGTCCCTGGCCCTGGTTGGGTTGTGCGGGTGGTAACCACTCAATGTGTCCCTTTCATATCGATGTTTCTCTCTCTCTCTCTCTCTCTCTCTCTCTCTCTCTTCCTCCCACTCTATCTGAACAAAATATGGAAAAAAGTCCTCGGGTGAGGATAAAAAAGAAGAGCAAGTTTACTGCTCCTCTGAAGGCATGACCTCAACAGAAGAGTCTTCAGGTGGTGCAGTATCTTTAGCAGGTGCGTCGTCATCTTCTTCTGCTGAAGGAGCATTAGGAGTAGGCAGTGGGTGTCTGGGTGCGCGGCTCAAGAACATCATGATAGGCAGTTGCTGACGCTGTCTTTTCATATGTGTGAGGAGGCTTTTGTTGGGTTCTATTGCTCCCTCAAGGGCATTCTGAAACCGCAATTCATGCATCATTTGTGGGTCCCATTTGCCAATTATGTCCTGTACTACCTTAATAGTTCTCACAACTTGCGAGGGAAGCTCAAGTGTAAGGCCAACTTCCTCCTCCTCACCCCCAGGAATCTCTGACTGCTCTTCCTCCTCCTCACTTGCAGACTTAGTCATCTCCACCAGATCCTCGTCAGTTAGGGGATCTGAATGTGTCTCCAGCAGCTCATCCACGTCATCGTCATGGACCTTGGCTTCATCCTTAAAAACGAATGTCTGGGAAGGCATTCTTTTCCAGAACAGTCCTGTTTTGTCCATATTGAACACCTGTTCTGGGTGATACTCACCCTCCTCAAGGATCTTCTGGAATGTGTTTTTCACATAGTCCTCTATTGCAGGCTGGTCAGCAGAGACAGCTTCTCCTTGGAGAATAACACTCTTCAGATGATACCTCTTCTGGAACTTCTCAAACCAACCCTTGCTTGCTGTGAAATCCATGAATGTTGCAAAAGAGGGTCCTGGTTGAGGTTCATCTGCCATAAAGCGCTGATAGAGCTGCCTCGCCTTCTCCAGGATGACCAGCGAATCCAACAGAATGTTTTTCTTGCGGCTGTCGCTGATCCAAATGGCTAGGGCAAACTCCCGTTTTCACTATGAACTTATTACGACTTGTCATGATGTGCTTTGCTTCCTTGTTGAAAGAGACAGTAGCCATTGCATGGATGTTCTTTTCATCTTTACAGATGGAGTGAATGGTAGACTTGTTCAAGTCATAATGAGCAACCTCTATGATTTTCTTGCCATCTTTGTTCATATCCAAGAGTTTCACCTTCTGGATGGTAAGCATCTTCCTCCGGCACTTAATTTCATTGTCAGAAGTCTTAGAAGAAGCAGCACGTTTAGCTTAGACAAAAGTTCTTGGAAATCGCAAACACTTACAAGAACAAAGATGCTTCTGATGCATAGTGATGTAGAAGTGTGTATGAGAGAAACAAACTTGCATGAGGATGAGCTAACCAGTGGCCAGGATAGGAGGACAGAATAGCCAATCAGTGAACAGCACACTCCAATTGGCTTGGTTTCACCACACTCAATTTTTTGGAAAAAAGTTATGGCCCACACACAAGGAGTGGTTGAGTGGTTGCACCTGGTGTTGAAGGATTTGCAAGGGTGCTTGGATACATAGGCCTACAGTCCACATGTACCGTAATTTTAATTTTCATTGTAATACAGGGTGTATAATTGACTCAGACAACCAAGCACGCACTGTATCATTTTCACTGTCTCGACCACTTTTTAATGAATATATTTGAAAAAAAAAAAAACAACCAAAAACCAAAATAGAATGAAGCTGCGAAAGTTTAAGCGCTAAGTGGCAAGGGAGGACTGTATAGGATAGTTAATAGTCAACAATTAATATGATAAAAATAGCAATGAGAGGATTTATGGTCTTTCCCTGGTGCATTGGTTATTCCTGGCTGTGCCCTGAGCAGTCTGGAAAAAAGGGGAGTTACCCTAACATCCCAAAGGTGTGTTATTGTAGATGCAAAAGATGTGAGACAGCTTTAGTGAAGGTAAAGATTGACTTTTGTTAGGGAAGATTATAGCCTGGGGTATGACTACTTGCCATAAACGGCTTTTAGTTAAAAAGTTTTAATTTTAAACCATCTTTTCTGGTTACTTTAGGTTTTGGAGTTTGCAAGACTGCCATGCAGGCCTTCCCTGAGCTTGTCAGGTTAGTATGTAACCCCTTTTGGCCCACGATTCAGAGTTTATTCTGTTTCTGTCAAAACACCATTTACTTGAGAATGGACAAAGTAGAAAGAGCCCTGAAAGATTTGGAAGTTTTGAAGAAAATGTTTTTGTGATATGGTACAGATTTTTTTGTATGATGAAGGGTAAAATTAAATGAAAATGTGTGGGAGGTGGGGAAGAATTAGATATAATTGATGGGTAAGGCCCCAGAGGAAGGAATAAAGAATGGCCCAGAGCATAGTGGAGGGATATGTTTTTTGTTTTGTTTTTCTTTACTGTTGAAAGTATTACAAATGTTCTTCCCTTTTTACTCCATTGACACCCTCCTCCCTGCTCCCTCTCCCCCACCTGTAGTCTGTGTCCACTGACTATGCATATATGTATGTAGTTCTTTGGTTTATCTCTTCCCTCCCCTCTCCCCTTCCCTCTGGGGTTTGTTTGTTCCCTACTTCCAGGTCTATAGATCTTTTTGTTCATTACATTCCACAAATAAGTGAGACCATGTAATACTTGTCTTTCTCTGACTGGCTTATGTTGCTTAGCATAATACTTGAGGGATTCCTTTTGACCTGGAGGAACTCAATGATCACCCAGAGAGGGTTCCAGAAAGGAAAAAGGGGAAGATGAGCATGCCGGGTGAGACAGGTGGTATCTTCGCAAATCTAAACTGGAAGAGGAATGCAATTAACCTTTACAAACACCATCTGATGCCTGTTAAGGCAGGTGTTATAATTTTGCAAGCTACAAGTTTGCCCAGAGAAACTGTCATTTGGTAGGTCATGTGGCATGCAAGGTCCTGCCTTCGCAGCAAAGCAAGGAAACCACCCAATCAAAGCCCCGTGACTTGAGCCCAGTCCCAGGCGCGACTTTCTGAACTATAGGCCCCAGGATGCATCGGGGCAAGCTCCCCATTGGAGGCAGCGGCTATGGTGGCGTCGCGCCGACCGGAAGACCCGCCTACGCCGTAAGTCTCGGAGACTAGAATCCTTACACCGGCGCTACCATGCGTCCGGACCAGGCTGTGTCTTGGTATCGGCGCATGTCCGCTGTCTACGCATTTGGCACCTGGACCCTGTTGGGCTCCTTGATTTTCTTCGGCAGGAAAAAGAGCAATCCATTAGGTACGGCTCTCCCAGACCTTCCACCGGACGTGCAGCCTTCCGTGGGGCGCACTCAGGGGTCATAGGAGCGGCTTCGCTGTGCCGCCTGCCCCACATATACTTCAACATTTGGGAACGGTTGCTTAGTGCCATTGTGTGTAATGGAATATGGCAGGAACTACATTTTAAGTTGTCTTACAGAAACCTTGTTTATATTTTAATGAGGCCATTCCTTATACTAAGAATGGGAAGAATCCGTGTAATGTTCTAGATGTGTTTTCAGACACTGGACAGTGGTGCTTCTGTAACATTAGCCCTTGTCGCATTTTTCGAGCAAACATTTCAGCACTTACACCAGCTAAGGAATGTTAAAACCTTACCAGAAAGGAAATCCCATAGCTTTAAAATATTTGGAAATCTACAGATACTGCTAGTAGATTTGTGGGTGCCCGAGGCTGCATGGGAGGAGTCATGAGTGACAGAAGAGTATGGGATTTATTTTTGTGGAAGAAAATATTGTAAAATTGACTGTTGGGCTGGTTGCACAGATCTGCATATACTAGAAACTATTTAATGTTACATTTTAAATGAGTAATTGTATGATATGTTAAGTATATCTCAGTAAAGCCGTGATGTGGATGTTATGTGGTAACTGCTGAAGATTACATTTGGTGATGAAGTTTATCAGTGGCCCAAAAAGTACACATGTCCAGTATTGAGGGTTTAAAAATATTTCAGTGTTTATAGTGGGCACGTTTTGTTTATTTTTCTTTTTTACAGAAAGAAAATAGTGTCAGGATTCTGAGGGGAGTGGTGTAATTCTTTTATTTTATTTTATTTAAGACTTTACAGATAATTTACATGACTGCTGTTTAAGTTAGATGTTAATTCAGGTATTTTGTTTTTTTAAAGGTGATGAAGTAGAACAAAAAGATGTCTCAACAGATGAATTTCCTGAGCCAAGTAATTCTTAGCTTATTTTATTTTATTTCCAAGACTTTACTAAATAATTTTAATGACTGCTCTCTAACTTAAAAGTTAATAATTCAGGTGTACCATATTTTTTAAAGGTGATGAATTAAAGCAAAGGGATGAAATAACTGAGCCTCCAAAAGGATTTTACGTGGAAACCATTGTCACATACAAAGAAGATTTTGTTCCAATTACTGACAGGATCCTCAACTATTGGAAATCATGGACTGGTGGCCGTGGACCAGAATCATGATTGACTGCAGAATCTGAAAACCAGGGCTTTGTTTCAGGATATAAATTTGATAGATGCTTTGATTTCCATTTTAAGTTTGTGAAAAGTGTATACACTTAATTTTACTGTAAAATATGGTCACTAATAATATGCAATAAATATTTCTTTGAGGAAATGTAAACTTGCATATTCAAGAAGTGACCCTCTCTGCCAGGCTGGTGTGGCTCAGCGGATTGAGCCTCACTCCATGGACTGAAGAGGTACCGGTTCGATTCCCAGTCAGGGCACATGCCCGGGGTTTGGGCTCAATCCCCAGTAGGGGGTGTGCAGGATGCAACTGGTTGATGTTTGTCCCTGACATCGGTGCTTCTATCTCTCCCTCTCTCTCTAAAAAAATCAATAAAATATATTTTTTTAAAAAAAGAAGTGACCTTCTATAGTTACACGAGTGAAAGGTTGAAGTGAAAATTTACATTGAGCTTCCGTATGCTTACTTTCTGAAACTAGCTCATGAATTTTATATTTCTTTTATGCTGTCAGACACAGCTTTAGTGGTCCCTTTAAAGTTAGATTAAGCAAATCTTCATGTTCAGTTTGGGATTTATAGCTGCTCCTTGGGTACTGGGTAAGAATGTTATGAGTTAAATAGACTCAATCCATTCTTTTTTTTTTTTTTTTTTTTATCCTCACCCGAGGACATTTTTCCATTTTTTGTTCAGGTAGAGTGGGAGGGAGAGAGAGGAACAGAGAGAGAGAGAGAAACATCGATGTGAAAGGAACACATCAAGTGGCTGCCACCCGCACAACCCAACCAGGGCCGGGGACAAACTGCAACCGAGGTACGTGCCCTTAGCGGGAACCGAACCCGGGTCTCTCAGGACCGCAGGCCCGACGCTCTAACCGCTGAGCCAAACCGGCCAGGGCTCAATCCATTCTTTAGGACGAGAACAGGTATGGATTAAATTCCAACTGTGACTACCAGTATTCTAGACACAGGGAGTACAAAGTTGGAACAACATGGTTCCTGCCCTAGAGCTGCACTAGTCTCTTTGCTGGTCTCTTTTGGTTGCAAGCTTATAAGTGAGCTTATATGAAGGGGGTATTTATCAAAAATGTGTATGGACACCTCAGAATTAAAGCAGATTATGTTATAGTCTTAGGAAGACCTGGCACCAGGAACCGGAATGCAGGCAGCCACTCACTGAACCTGCCTGCCTCTGGCTCAAATAAATTCTAATAAACTCTTTTTGTTTTGATTTTAGAGAGAGGAAGGGAGAGATAGACAAAAACATCAATTTGTTGTTCCACTTATTTATGTATTCATTAGTTGATTCTTGTATGTGCCCTGACCTGGGATCAAGCCTGCAACCATGGCAGATCAGGACGATGCTCTAACCAACTGAGCTACCTTGCCAGGGTATCTAATAAACTCTTATTACACTTAAAAATGGTTTCCTAAGTCTGGTAATTTGGTAACTTGAAACTAAAGTTTTACTAGCTAAATTAAATGATGAATATTCGTTGAATGTCTAGACCATTTCCAAATAAGATAAAATACTGAAACACGAATGACTGAACATAGGTTTGCCTACCATTTGCTTTTTATAGAGGAACTAAAGATATTTGAGTCTCAGTAAACATGCTTTGTGCCACATTAAAAACTTTTTGTGCCGTGATGAAATACATGTTTCTAGAAATTATAAAATGTGTTTATAAATTTATTACTCTAAAAGAACTGTTGTAACAGTTCACAATAGCTTATTCCTTAGCACTAGAAATTAGAATTTTTAAACTAAGAATTCTAATATGTGTAGTTAAAGGTACAAAAACTAATAATAGGGAAAACGATGATATACACAAGAAAAATAGGATATATTTGGCTTATAAAAGGTATAAGATGTGGAAATGTGTTTTTGTTAAGGGACATGAAGGAATTTTGTTCTGATTATTTCTGAATGGGTTAGAGAACAAGGATACACTAAAAGGGACACTGAAAGTTGAAGAAAGTTGATGAAAAAGGAGTCTTGAGGAAGAAAATTTTGAGAAGTGAAACTGAATACAATTGAAATAAATTTAAATATCAAAACCTGATATAAAATTAGAGTTTGATTTTCTCTCTGCTGAAAAGGACAAAGTTTTATTAGATTATTGGTCTGCTACTGATATTTTGAAAAATTTTCAGCCTAGAAAGCAAAGACTATGTGTTTAGTCAAAATAATTTTCTGTGTTTAAAAAAAATTTTTTTTCATTGTTTTTTAGAGAGAGATGAAGGGAGAGGGAAAAACATTAGTGCAAGAGCAAAGCATTGATTGGCTGCCTCCTGCACACCCTCTACTTGGGATTGAGGCTGAAACCTGGGTATGTGCCCTGACCAGGAATCAAACCAGCAACCTTTCAGTGCACAGGACAACCCCCAACCAACTGAGCCAACTGGCTAGTGCATTTTCTGTGTTTTATGTTGTTGTAATCAGGTCCTTGATTACATAAGAAAACGGAATTTCCTCATTAGTAAGAACTAAGTTTTTTCCCTTGGTTTTTTAAAATTGAATTTATTGGGGTGACACTGGTTAACAAAATTATACAGGTTTCAGGGGCACAATTCCACAACACATCATCATACACTGTATTGTATGTTCACCACCCCAAGTCAAGTCTCGTTCATCACCATTTATCCCGCCTGTACCCTCTTCCACCCTACTCCACAATCACCACACTGTTGTCCCTGTGTAAGAATTTTAAGATTTTCTAACAATTATGTAAACTTGTGTATATGTCTTTGAAAAAAAATGTTTTTACAATGAGGTATCACCTCACACCTGTCAGAATGGCCGCCATCAACAAATCATCAAACAACAAGTGTTGGCGAGGGTGTGGAGAAAAGGGGACTCTAGTGCACTGCTGGTGGGAATGCAGACTGGTGCAGCCACTATGGAAAACAATATGGTGTTACCTCAAAAAATTAAAAATTGAACTTCCATTTGACCCAGTGATCCCACTTCTAGGAATATACCCTAAGAATCCTGAAACACCAATCAGAAAGAATATATGTACCCCCATGTTTGTAGCAGCACTATTTACAATAGCTATGATCTGGAAACAGCCCAATTGTCCATCAGTAGACGAATTTATAAAAAAGCTGTTGTACATATACACAATGGAGTACTACGCAGCTGTAAGAAAGAAAGATTTCTTATCCTTTGAGACTACATGGAGGGACCTGGAAAGTATCAACCTAAGTGAAACAAGCCAAACAGAGAAAGACAAGTTTCATATGATCTCACTTATTTGTGGAATATAATGAACATAACAGTCTGAGGAATGGAGTAGTCCCAGAGACGTGGAAGTGGGGTACAGACTGACAATCCCCACAAGAGGGGGGTGGTGTGGGAGAGATAAACCACAGAACTTATATGCATGTATGCATGAACAGTGGACATGGACAACAAAGCTGGGGACAGGGCAGGGAGGGAGGGGGAGGGGGAATTAGTGGGGGAAAAAGGAGAAACATCTGTAACAAAAATTAATAAAAATAAAAAAAAAATAAAAGAAAAAAAATATTTTTAAATTCCTCACCGGATCATAGTTTTTTATTTATTTTTAGACATGGGGGGAAGAGGAAAGAGAGAGAGAGAAACATCTATGTGAAAGAGACATCGATTTGTTGCCTCCTGCATGACCCCGACCAGGACCGGGGACTGAACAGCAAATAGGTATGTGCCCTTGACCAGAATCGAACTCGTGACTTTTTGGTCCATGAGCCAATGCTTTAACTGCTGAGCCAAACCAGCCAGGGCATCACCATAGTGCTTTTAAGCTGGACTTTATTTAACTGCTTATTTAGTATGGGTTATCAATATGTTCCTGGTGTATGTTTCCTAGATGGGTTAAAGTGGCTTTACTTCCCCTCTCGAAAGGCTGATACCCTCACAGTGGCAAAAACACTGTTAGAAATGTGTTTTTTACTTGATGTATGCCTTCAACAATCTCCAGGCAAATCATACAATCTTTGTTGACCAGCCTTGAAAACTTCTTGGCATTATCACTGACTTTATCACCCTCAATTATCAGGCAAGGTTGAGAGAACTAATGGAAAAACCGAGTCAAGCAGAGCTTTTAATTACATGGGACTGAATGAACTGATGAAAATAATTACAATATTTATGACTTTTTGTTTGAAACAAAATTTTTTCTAAAGCTAGCTATGACTTAGAGCAATTTGGTAAACTATACCTTTGTAAATAGAAACATTTGTCCTTTCCCCCTTACTAGATTCCTCCAGAATTTGGAAACTTGCAGTGAGCATTCTCATTTTCATGGCAATATTGTTATTTGTATAAGTTTAATAAGAATCTATTCTGTCCTGACTGGTTTGGGTCAATGGTAGAGCATCGGCCTGTGGACCAGAGAGTCCCCGCTAAGGGCATGTACCTCGGTTGCAGTTTGTCCTTGCCCCTGTTAGGGTCATGTGGGTGGCAACCAGTCATGTGTCTCTCTCACATCGATGTTCTGTCTTTCTCTTCCCTCCTCTCTCCCTCTGAAGATAAATGCAAAAAAAAAAAAAAAAAAAAAAAAAAGTCCTTGGGTGAGGTAAAAGAAAAAGAATCTGTTCTTATAATAGGAGACAATGGGAAATTAGCTATATTACCAAGGATTTGATTGGAATGTTGTGTGTGTGTGTGTGTGTGTGTGTATATATATATATATATATATATATACACATTTTGTTGATTCTCACCTGAGGATATTTTTTCCATTGATTTTTAGGGAGTGGAAGGGAGGGAGGGGGAGGGGAGAGAGAAACATTAATGTGGAAGAGACACATCTATTGTTTGCCTCTCAAATGTGTCCTGATCAGGCCGGGAATGGAACCTGCAACCCTGATACATGCCCTCGACCCTTTGCTCTGCAGGCCCACGCTCTAATTGCTGAGTCAAACAGGTCAGGCTAGGAGCAGAAACATGCAGTGGTTCTCAACCTTCCTAATGCTATGACCCTATAATACAGTTCCTCATGTTGTATGTGGGCATATCTGCATGTGAGCGGACCCGCCTGGAGACAGAAGAGTGGTGTCTTTGTTCCTAAGACCATCGGAAATATGTGGTTTCTGATGGTCTAAGGCGACCCCTCCAAAAGGGTCCTTCGACCCCCCCAAGGGGTTGAGAACTGCTGATTTAGAGGAACTTATATTTTTATCAGTGATTAATAATGTGTTTGGGTGAGACTTTTACGTAGTCTCTTTTATTTAAATCTTCTAAAAACCAGGGGTGGGGAGTGGGTAGGTGGGGCTAGTATTAGTATTTGTATTGGAGGAAGAATTACAAATGCAGATTTACAGTATACATCTCTGCACTACCATGATATGGTTAAGTCAAATTAATAGTTAAATAGTTAAATGACTATTTTAGGCAGGAACTCCTATAGTGTCTGCTTTCTGAGAAGCCACTGAGTCAGAAAGACAAGGGAAAAACAATTTGGGAGAGTATTGGGGCAGAGGAATGGAAAAGAGGAAGAGGGAATACATTTAGAATTAGGATTCAGGACACAGCTGGGATTTAGAAATGATGGCTCTTAGACCTGGGGAAGTGAGAAAACACAGGTGCAGAAAGCCTGGGCAGAGGTGAGGGATCCAAGGGTGGTTAGCACAGGGTCCAGCTGTGTGTGGAGTAGGACTGAGAATGGGGTGGGCCTATAATTGGTTGAGCCTGATTATAGTTAGGTTTAGTTGGACGACCAATCTCTGGGTGGGCGTGGCCTATATCCACCGGCCGCTGGCAACCTGGCCTGACAGGCGTGCTTCCTAATGTTACCCGTAGAGGGCGCAGGCCGCAGAAGCGCTCTCTGGGTCTCGTGGCCGGAAGGAGTGCGGTACGGCCCTACTCGCCCCAGCAGCCGCCATGAAAGCCGTGGTGCAGCGCGTCACCCGGGCCAGCGTCACAGGTCAGTCGGGCGGGGCCGGGCCGGGAGGAACCGCCCCAGACCCAAGCGCTTGGCCGACCCCGCGACGGTTTCCCCGCACGATCCCCGGGTTTGCTCTGAACCTTGCGGCCCATGCGCGAGCTTTGACCCCGCAGCCTCGAGTCCCTGGCCGGCCCGGGCACCACCGCTCCAGATCGCTGTCCATATGCCTGGAGGATTCCAGCGCGTCCCTGGTTTCAGGATCTCTTTGGGTTCACGAGAAACATGCCTTATTATTCTCTTTATTTTCGTCCTGAGTATCGGGTGGCAAAACCTTCGATCAACCCCATGGTTCGTTCTTCAGTGGAATATTGCACAAACACGTAGGGAGCATTTCTGGAGCAAGAACATCTCTCTTTGTAGCGTTCTATTTTAAATTTCCCATTTTGCCCAGTTTCTTTATGTCCTAATTTTTATGGAGCTTGACTCCCAATAAAATGCACAGATGTGAGGAGTTGTTCCTCTGGATGAGTTCTGACACTTGTGTACGTATACCCACGTGATCAGCCCCCAGGCTAGGTTCAGAACGCTCCCTGCCCCAGGACACCCTCTTCCTCAGTCGCTGAACCCTGCAGCAATGGAGTTAGAATCTAAGGAATTCAGGGTGAAATACTTCTCTTTACCACCAATTTCTTGTGGGCCAAGCCACCTAACCACTAGTCATCAGTAGATAACTATTCTAATTTGAACAGTAATTAATGTTAATCATTGTTAATGGGGTCCAGATGATTAATATACATAAGGTAATTGTTTTAAAAACCTCAAAGCAAGTTAATAAAGATATTTAAAAAATTTTAATGAGTAATTTTGGATTGTTTCCTAGTCTTTTAAGTTTTATTAATTTTTTTGGCCTTTTTAATTTTTATTGGCAGATTTATAATACTGATTCAGTCCTGGTAATTCTAGATATCCTTCAAGCCAGTCTACTAAATATGTGTTCTTGTGCCTGCAAAAGTATAAATCTAAAAACAAAACAACAAAATTCCCTAAGAAACAACCAAACCCAGCAAAATCATATATAGGTATTTGGAGCTGAGATTCAACTTTTCAACCCTGACTAATGACTTCTTAGCTGTTTTGGTAACTGGTTTTGGATATGGCCCTGGAGTAATAGAGACTAGAATGACAGGGATTTATAGAATTTCAAAACAATTAAAAAAATTTCAGTTAATATTTAAGGTCACTAAACTAGAATAATTCATGGATGAAAATAATTTTTGCTTTTTTGAGAAGAATCTTGTAGCTTGCTTTATGTGGTCCTCATCAACAATGACTAAACTTTGGAGAATTTAGGTTCTGATCTTATCTTTCTGAATTCTCCATTCTGGAATATTGAAAACATGTATTCTGTGAAATTTACTGAACAGTTTGAGTGATGTTAGTTTACCATTTAAATTATGTGCTGTTAGTTAAAAACAAACAAGTAAACCAAACTGCTATTATAAAGATAAGTGTTAATTGTGGGAAGGTGTTAATAAAATGGAATTCTCTCAGTGCTAGAGGGACCTGGAGTTAACAAGGCCTTCTAATTGAATTATAATGGAAAGAGATTTTCTGATTGGCTTTGCTGAAATGTGGCTGTAAGTGAATGACATTTTACTTCAGGGGTTCTGAAATGTCACTTCCAATATTATGTTTGGGACAGTAGACTATCAGGAGTCATATGTGGTAGATTCACTTTATGAGGTCGGTCAGGCAAATTTTGTTGCCTTAGTGTGATTATTGTGATAATATAATTTAAAAAGCTTGGTTATGGAACATTTCAAACATATTCATTTGGTTAAACAGGTGAATAGTACAGTAACCCCCATTTCCTGTCACTGAGCTTCAACAGCTAAAATCTGAATAGAATCATAGAATGTTGGGAAGGGGATCTAAATCATTGGGTTTGGCCCTGGCCAGTTTGGGTCTTGGGTTCGGTTCTCATCAAGAGCATGTACCTGGGTTGCAGATTCGATCCCCAGCGGCCATGAAGGAGGCAGCCAATCGATGTGTCTCTCTAACATTGATGTTTCTCTTCTTCTCTACCTTCCACTCCATCAAAAAAAAAAAAAAAATTGTTGTGTGTTTTAATTTGGGAGATTGTTACTTCTCAAAGAAGAGGTTCATGGGTGATGCCACTTGTACATAGCGAAACTGACCAAATATCTCAGGTCTTTTTTAGCCTGGTGACCTTTTGTCTAAAATTCTCAAGTTTTTTTTCTTTGGAAATCCATTTGTTTATAATAAAAGATTCTTTCGGACCTCCTCATTCTTCTACTTGTTCCAGGAGGAGGGGCAAAACAGCTCTAAAATAAGAGAGTAATCTGTGTTATATGTAGGCTTTGGGGCATACTTTGTTATTAAGATAATACTAAATTGTAAAAATGTTGAAACTTCAGATAATGATTTGAATCACTTCAAATAATTATTCTACTTTTGAAAATATAAGAAGATAATCTTAATTATAGAAAACACATTAAGGCAGAGCACAGAGGATTTTTAGGGCAGTGAAACAACTCTGTGTGATACTGTAATGGTAGGTTCATGTTATTATATATATATTTGTCTAAACCCACAGTATGTACAGCACCAGGAGTGAACCCCAGTGTAGGCAGTGGACTCTGGATGATTGTGGTGTGTCATTGTAGGCTCATCAATTGTAACAAGTATACCCCTATGGCAGTTAGTCAGTCCATTGGATGGAATGCAACTGTTTTACCGGATGAGATGTTTAGGAAAAGCTTATAACATGGAAAAATCCTTATGCAATGTTAAGAGAAAGGATGAGACATACAAATTTATATACAATATTTACAACAATATTACAATAATATTATTCTTTTTTCTTCCTATTATATTTTCCAATTTTTCTATAATGTATATTGACTTGAATGGTGGATATAGCTCAGAAATTATTTTTTAAGCCTTTAAAACATACTTTGGGGAAAATTTAGAAAATATATTGACATTATAAGAAAATAATACTTTTTTTTATGGCTGAGTCATATTTTATTGTATATATGCACCACTTCTTTATCCATTCGTCTGTTAGGTTGCTTTCATGTCTTGGCTATTACAAATAACACTGTAATGAACATAAAGATGCATGTCTTTTAGATTTAGTGGTTTGGGTTTCTTCAGATAAATACTCAGAAGTGGAATTGCTGGTCCTTTGTTGTCTCTTGTTATAGCCTTTGTTTTAAAGTCTGTTTTGTTTGGTATAAATATTGCTAACCCAGCTTTTTTTTCCACTTCTATTTTTATGAAATATCTTTTTCCATCCCTTTTAGTCTGTGTGTGTCTTTCGATCTGAAGTCAGTTTCTTGTAGGCAGCCTATCGAAGGGTCTTATTTTTTTTTTTTAAAGGGATGATTCTTGAATGGCAGAATTCAGGTATCATGCCAAAGTTTTATATATTTTAAAATTTTTATTGATTTTTTTAGAGAGAGAGGAAGGGAGAGAGAAATAGAAACATTGATGTGAGAGAGAAACATCAATTGACTGCCTCCTGCACGCCCCCTACTAGGGATTGAGCCTGCAACCCGGGCGTGTGCCCTGACTGGGAATCGAATCAGGACCTCTCAGTCAATGGGATGACGCTCAATCCACTGAGCCACCGGGGCAGGGTCTTATTTTATTACCCATTTAGCCACCCTATGTCTTTTTATTGGAACATTTAAAGTAATTATTGATATATATATATATTTATTGTCATTTTACTATTCATAAAAAAGAATGAAATCTTGCCATCTGCAACATCATGGATGGACCTAGAGAGTAATGTGCTGAGAGAAATAAGACAGAGAAAGAAAAATGCCATATGATATCACTTATATGTGGGATCTAAAAAACAAGACAAACAAACAAACAGACCAGAAACAGACTCATAGATACAAAGAACATTTTGATGGTTGCCAGATGGGACAGGAGTTGGAGAAATGGGTGAAAAAGGTGAAGGGATTAAGAAGTACAAATTTGGATAGAAAACTTGAACAGACCAATAACAACAGAAAAATTGAAGATGTAATCAAGACTCTCCCAGCAAACAAAATCCCAGGCCTGGATGGCTTCACGGGGGAGTTTTACCGAACATTCAAAGAAGAACTAACACCCATTCTCCTCAAACTATTTCAAAAAATTCAAGAAGAAGTAAGACTTCCAAACTCGTTTTATGAAGCCAGCATAATTCTAATTACAAAACGAGAAAAAGACACTACAAAGAAAGAAAACTACAGGCCAATATCCCTGATGAACATAGATGCCAAAATCCTGAACAAAATACTAGCAAATCGGATCCAGCAATACACCAAAAGAATTATCCACCATGACCAAATGGGATTCATCCAGGGATGCAAAGCTGGTACAATATTTGCAAATCAATAAGCATGATACACCACATAAATAAAATGAAGAATAAAAACCACATGATCATATCAATAGATGCCGAAAAAGCCTTCGACAAAATCCAGCATCCATTTCTGATAAAAACACTCAGCAATGTGGGAATAGAGGGATCCTATATAGACATAATAAAGGCCATATATGAAAGACCTACAGCCAACATCATACTCAATGGGCAAAAACTAAAAGCATTTTCCTTAAGAACAGGAACAAGGCAAGGATGCCCACTTTTGTCACTCTTATTTAACATAGTACTGGAAGTCTTAGCCACAGCAATCAGACAGGAAGAAAAAATAAAAGAGATCCAAATTGGAAAGGAGGAAGTGAATCTGTAATTATTTGCAGATGACATAATACTATACGTAGAAAACCCCAAAGACTCCATCAAAAATTAACTAGACTTAATAAATGAATTTGTCAAAGTAGCAGGATACAAAATTAATGTCAAGAAATCAATGGCATTCTTATACACCAATGATGAACTCACACAGAGAGAAACTAAGAAAACAATCCCATTTACCTTTTCAGCAAAAATTAAGATACCTAGGAATAAACTTAACCAAAGAAATAAAGGACCTATTCACAGAAAACTACAGGTCATTGAAAAAAGAAATAGAGGTAGATATAAAAAAGTGGAAGCACATACCCTGTTCATGGATTGGAAGAATTAACATAATTAAACTGTCTATATTGCCCAAAGCAATCTATAGATTCAATGCAATCCCCATCAAAATACCAATGGCATACTTCACAGAATTAGAACAAATACTTCAAAAGTTTATATGGAACCAAAAAAGACCTCGAATAGCCACAGCAATCTTGAAAAAGAACAAAGTTGGAGGAATCACATTACCAGATTTCAGGTTATACGACAAAGCCACTGTAATCAAAACAGCCTGGTACTGGCACAAGAACAGGCATATAGACCAGTGGAACAGAACAGAGAACCCAGAAATGGACCCAAGGCAATATGCTCAATTAATATTTGACAAAGGTGGCAAGAGCATACAGTGGAGTAAGGACAGCCTCTTTAATAAATGGTGCTGGGAAAATTGGACAGCTACATGCAGACAAATGAAACTAGACCATCAACTTACACCCTACACAAGAATAAACTCAAAATGGATAAAAGACTTAAATGTGACTCATGAAACCATAAAAATCCTAGAAGAAACTGTAGGCAACAAAATTTCAGACCTCATATGCAGCAAAATTTTCACTGATACATCACCTAAGGCAATAGAAACACGGGAGAAAATGATCACATGGGACTACAGCAAACTCAAAAGCTTCTGCACAGCGAAAGATACAGTCATCAAAATGGAAAGGCTACCCACTGTATGGGAGAGCATGATTGCCAATGATATATCAGATAAGGGATTAATTCCCAATATATATAGAGTGCTCATACAACTCCACAAAACGAAGATGAAGAACCCAATTAAAAAATGGGCAGAGGAACTAAATAGACACCTCTCCAAATAGGACATACAAATGGCCAAGAGACATATGAAAAAATGCTCATCATCACTAATCATCAGAGAGATGTAAATTAAAACAACAATGAGGTATCACCTCACACCTGTCAGAATGGCCGCCATCAACAAATCATCAAACAACAAGTGTTGGCGAGGGTGTGGAGAAAAGGGGACTCTAGTGCACTGCTGGTGGGAATGCAGACTGGTGCAGCCACTATGGAAAACAATATGGTGTTACCTCAAAAAATTAAAAATTGAACTTCCATTTGACCCAGTGATCCCACTTCTAGGAATATACCCTAAGAATCCTGAAACACCAATCAGAAAGAATATATGTACCCCCATGTTTGTAGCAGCACTATTTACAATAGCTATGATCTGGAAACAGCCCAATTGTCCATCAGTAGACGAATTTATAAAAAAGCTGTTGTACATATACACAATGGAGTACTACGCAGCTGTAAGAAAGAAAGATTTCTTATCCTTTGAGACTACATGGAGGGACCTGGAAAGTATCAACCTAAGTGAAACAAGCCAAACAGAGAAAGACAAGTTTCATATGATCTCACTTATTTGTGGAATATAATGAACATAACAGTCTGAGGAATGGAGTAGTCCCAGAGACGTGGAAGTGGGGTACAGACTGACAATCCCCACAAGAGGGGGGTGGTGTGGGAGAGATAAACCACAGAACTTATATGCATGTATGCATGAACAATGGACATGGACAACAAAGCTGGGGACAGGGCAGGGAGGAAGTGGGAGGGGGAATTAGTGGGGGAAAAAGGAGAAACATCTGTAACAAAAATTAATTAATAAAAAAATAAATTAAAAAAAGAAACATCAATTAGAAAACTAAAAAAAAGAAAGAAAGAAAAAAAAGAACTACAAATTTGTAATTACCAAATAATCATAGTGATGTAAAGTACAGCATAAGGAATGCAGTCAATAATATTATAATAACTATGTATGACATCAGATGGATACTAGAGTTATCAGGATGATCACTTCATAAGTTATATAAATGTCTAATCACAAGGTTATATACCTGACACTAATATAATATTGTATGTCAACTGTAATTGAAAAATATAAAATAGAAAAAAAGAAAATACTATTTATTTATTTAAAGAACAAATAAAGCCAAAGGCTTTTTTTTTTAGTTTTATTTAAATATGTTTTTACTGATTTTTATAGAGTGAGAGTAAGGGAGAAAGAGATAGAAACATGGATGAGAGAGAAACATCAATCGGCTGCCTCCTGCATGCCCTCCATTGGGGATCTAGCCCACAATCCGGGCATGTGCCCTGACCAGGAACCGAAGCGGGACCTCTCAGTCCACTGGATGACGCTCAATCCATTGTGCGACACCAGCCGAACCCAAAGTCTTTTTCTAAAGCAACACAAACGAATAAACAACCCCAATTGTTTACTTCTTATGTTAGGATGAATTTTTTTTTAGTTTTAGCTTTTGATTCAGTGGCTCAAAGAATAGTAAATCACTCATAGTCCATTATTAGAAAAGCAGAACAAAAGAAAATATTAAAATGTTTGTTCTTTTAGTGTAAAACTAAGATAAATTAAGCTTTACAGATATTTCAGGAATGGGTTGATGCTGATGCTCCCCTGGAATATGAATGTCAAGTGGTACCTTGTCAGACACCTGAAAGAAGAGGGGAGTCTCTCACTCCTTCCTTAGCTTGCAGGATATTACATCACTGTGAGATCTGTGATTCTTTGTCATGTATATTTATAGATATTATTATTTGTTAATCCTCATCTGAGGATAATTTTCCATTGATTTTTTTGAGGGAGGGAGAGAGAATCAATTGGTTGCCTCCCACATAACCTTCACCAGGGTAGGTGATCGAACCTGCAACCATGTACGTCCCTTTGACCAGGAATTGAACCCTTGACCCTTCAGTCTGCATGTGGAGGCTCTAACTACTGAGCAAAACTGGCCAGGGCTATTTATAGATATTATTATCTAGCAGAAGCAAACAAGAAAATGGCAGAGTTGACCCTCTTCTAATTGGAACAGTAGGTTAGCACATGATAAAGTAACAAAACATCAATAATCTAATGAGATTTGGCAAAAAATTGGCAAAAACAAATAGAAAACTATGAAGATCAATATTTGAAGTATTGGCTTCGATTTTTTATCATAATGATGCATCTTGGTTAAGTACTATGCCAACACTGTCTAATGGTAGTAGAGTGTACATTATAAATACATAAATAAATGTTTAGAATAGTAATATATGTTCAGATATTATTTTTATGGATGAGGTGCATGATTCAAAAAGATTTTGAGATCATTGGCTTAGAATGCAACATTAGTACTAAACTGGGAAATAATGGAAGTTTGGTGACTTGAAGCTTAACTTTTAAACCATGGTTTTTGTGTATAATATATTTATCTTTTCTGACATAAGTAGAAAAACCATTTCTCTATTTTTATGGCAAAAATGTTTTTCATTTTGTGCTGTATATTGTGTTACCAGATTTGCTGATTCCAAGACAAGCAGGAATCTCTTGAGTATTAATATAGCTAAGCTGGAATCTTTAGGCAGGAAAACTCTTCTGTTTTTACAGATTGGCAAACTCTATCATAGAAAGTTTCAGGTGTCTTACCTAAGGTCACACAGTTGAAAATGTGGCTCTAAAATCCTGCTTAATGGTTGTTCATTTCAGAATTCATTCATTCCAGATATAAAATCAGGATGGACATAAATTAGAATCGTCTTACTGCCTTTACATAATCCTTTCATTTTTGAATACCTGCTGACTGCCAAAGAAGTTATGTTTGATATATATATTTTTTATCCTCACCCAAGGACATTTTTCCATTTTTTGGTTCAGATAGAGTGGGAGGGAAAGAGAGGAAGACAGAGAGAGAGAAACATTGACGTGAAAGAGACACATCAAGTGGTTGCCACCCGCACAACCAACCAGGGCTGGGGACAAACTGCAACTGAGGTACATGCCCTTACAGGAACTGAACCCGGTCTTTCTGGACCGCAGGCCGATGCTCTAACCACTGAGCAAAACTGGCCAGGGCAGGAGTATGTGTGATATTTAAATATTCCTGTGGTTATTTAAAAGTGCTTCATGGGATCTATTTGATTCTGAGTCTTTTTTAATTTTCTTTTTTTTTTTCTTTAGAGAGAGTGGAAGGAAGGAAGGGAGGGGGGAGAGAGAGAGAGAGAATGAGAGAGAGAAATATCCATGTGAGAGACACACGTGGATTGGTTGCCTCCCGCATGCGCCCCTACCGTGACTGGGGATCCAACCTGAAACTCAGTGCCCTTGACCGAGAATCAAACCTGAGACCCTTCGGTGTGCACACCCACGCTTCAACCACTGAGCCACATAGGCCAGGCCCCTGAGTCTTTTTTCCCTTTTGTTTCCTTTCTAGTTGGAGGAGAGCAGATAAGTGCCATTGGACGGGGCATTTGTGTGTTGCTGGGTATTTCTCTGGAAGATACACAGAAGGAACTGGAGCACATGTAAGATGTAGATTTCTAAATCATTGCTCTTTGAAATGGGATATTTGGTAGTTATATCTTATTATATATAAGATATATGTACACACACATACATACCAGGAACTTCTATAGTGTTTTGTTCCTATAAAGTGAGCCCCTGTTACTTTTATCAGTGTAACATTCGATGTAGTATGGTTATCTTCGTGTTTCGGATGAGGAGACTGAGGAAGAGTAATCTGTTAAATGTCACCCACTAAGTGAGCTGCAGAGCAGGAGTACAACTTAGCCTCCATCCCTATTTGCTGCTACATCTGTGAACCATTCTCTTGATGCAAAAACCGAGCCTCTTTTCTTATGACTGATTTCTGTTTTTTAATTTGAGAAATGGGGTCTGGCACTGTTAATGCATTTTTATTTTATTTTATTTTTTCTTTATTGCTCCTAGAGAGAGAGGAAGGGAGAGGGAGAGAGAGACAGAAACATCGACCAGAGAGAACATCGATTGGCTGCCTCCCACGTGCCCCACACTGGGGATCGGGTCCACATCCTGGGCATGTGCCCTGCCAGGGAATTGAATTGGCGACTTCCTGGTGTATGGGTTGATACTCAACCACTGAGCCACACCAACCGGATTGTTAATGCATTTTTAAAATGCCCAGTTGTTCATTGTACACATAAAGATCTGGATCTTAGAGATGTTAAATTACTTGCTCAGCCCTGGCTGGTTTTGCTCAGTGGTTAGAGCATCGGCCTGCAGTCCAGAGAGACCCAGGTTCGGTTCCCGCTAAGGGCACATACCTAGGTTGCAGTTTGTCCCCGGCCCTGGTTGGGTTGTGTGGGTGGCAGCCACTCGATGTGTCCCTTTCACGTTGATGTTTCTGTCTCTCTTCCTCTCTCTCTCCTACTCTATCTGAATAAAAAATGGAAAAATGTCCTCGGATGAGGATAAAAAAAAAAATTACTTGCTCAAAGTCACATACACATAGTTATCAAAACCCAAATTCGAGTTAGAATCTAGGCTACCTGACCTGGAAGCCAGTGCTTCTTTTACTAAAGTAGGGGGGTTTGTCATTGCTGTTGCCTGACTGGCAGCTTCCCCTGCCCCATGTTTACTGCACCCCCTTTCCACCCCAGCACCACCTGACAGATTTACTTCAGATGCTTGGATTCATTTATTCTGCCCTTTGGTGCCCAGAGCCTGGGTATAACCTCACCCAACTGTCCCTTTTGTGTTAAGTTGAAAATCAGACTTGGGATCCAATTCCTGCGAAGGTGTTGATGACTGATAAGTATAGTTCATTACCACTTTAAGGATGTTGGTATTTTAATAATTGTTCCCTGGATACTTGAAATAGTAGAGTGGTATAGTGGTTAAGAACTGGGGCTCTGGGTCTGAATCTCTTTATGGCTCTGACATTCTAGAGAGCTAATACTTATTTTGGTGGTTAAGAGATTTAACTCAACAGAAGACAAACCTTGACTGTGGAGAGGGGGACAAAAAGTACCCACTACAGAGAGTACCCATATTAAGAGCCAGTGAATTACTATTTGTGGAGCCCTTGAACATGTCTTCAACAACATCCAAAAAGGTGGCTTTCTAACGGTGGAATTTCAACTTTCATGCAGGTCGTTCTTTGTCATGCTTTTGAAATCTGGTCTTATAAGCGTTACTTAGTCATCTTCCTTGCCAAGGTGGCTGTCATCCACATGTATAGGGGAAGCCCCTCTAGGACTTAAGGAGCATGTGACATAGTTGTTAAGGTATCTTTGTCCAGATCTTTTTGCATATTTGTAGTAATAAGTTCTCTCCAGGATATTTGCTGAATTGTTCATTTTGAGAAGCTCCAAGAAGGGGTTTAAAAATGGGGTACTATTTATTCTAGTCTAAAGATGGAATTCTTCTATAAGCAGTTAGAATTGGGCCCATGTTTTGACATATTATCCAACTTGAAGGAGCAGATAATGGGTGGCTGGTTGTCTTGGCTCCAGTTTCCACTGACTCTGGCAGCTGCTGTGAATTAGTGGGATGCACCAAAAAAAAAAAAAAAAAGGAAATCTCCAAACAACCCTATCAGCTGGACCACTATTAACCTGTATTACAGATGAGGAACTGAGGCAGAGAGTGGAAAATTAACTTGCCCAAGGTCACATTTTCTGTAAGCGATGTGTGTTTTTTTTGGCAGGATGCTGATGACATTGGAGGATATGAAATGTGTTGGGGGGTGCTTACGATTCTCCAGGTAGCTCTCACTGCCATTTTTCCCCTTAGGGTTCGAAAGATTTTAAACTTACGTGTGTTTGAGGATGAGAGTGGAAAGCACTGGTCGAAGAGTGTGATGGACAAACAGTACGAGGTGCTGTGTGTCAGCCAGTTCACCCTCCAGTGTGTCCTCAAGGGCAATAAGCCTGACTTCCACCTGGCAATGCCCACGGAGCAGGCAGAGAGCTTCTATAACAGCTTCCTGGAGCAGCTGCGCAAGACGTATAGGCCGGAGCTCATCAAAGGTAGGCAGGAGAGTCTCTGGGACACTTCTGGATGGGGGGGAAGAGAATCTGCAATTGTAACCTTTCCTTTGTCACCAAGTTTGTTGTTTATGCTTAAAACAACATAATGGCTGCTGCCACTGCTTGTTGGTGCTCATGTCCTCTGAATGCCCTAGATACCATTTACCTTTCTTTATTCTTTTAGTCACATTTAAAAATACTTAGCAACCCAGAATTGAGTTTGATATAGTGGTGTTTTATTTTGGTACTTACCCTGTCCAACAGAAATACAGTGCAAGCACACATGTGAGCCACATGTCATTTTAAATTTCTAGTAGCCATATTTAAAAAATAAAAAGAAATAAGTGAAATTAATTTTAAATTTATATTTTATTTAGCTTACTATATCTAAAATATTATATCACCATGTAGTTAATATAAAACTATATTAAGATAATTTATATATATATTTTTTGTACTAAAGTCTTCTAAACCTGGTGTATAGTTTATACTTATAGTACATCTCCGTTTGGACCACATTTCAAGTGCCCAATAGCTGTGAGTGTCCAATGGCTGTGATATTGGACATATAGGTTTCGATCTTTGCTTACCTGCCTATTGTCAACCTAGTTTGACTAACCAAGATTTAGTCTAGGAAATGGCTTGATGAAATAGTGGTCCTTTGTGGGAAATTATGAATCTTTTTAAGAAGATCATTCATTTCTAGTCTGTTTTTATTGGGTTAAATTGCATTTAAGACCATGTTTTGCCTTTTTCTTCATTTATTAGAAAAGAATATTTAGCCTTTTTTGGTAATGCAGCTTAATAAGAGATCTTTCTAGGTAGAATGTCTCTTTCTTTTGCTGCCATCATATCCTTTTGTATACATCTAGTAGTTGTGCACAGCAAAAGAAACCAGCATCAAAATGAAAAGTGAACCCACTGTATGGGAGAACATATTTGCCAATTACACATTGGATAAGGAGTTAATTTTCAAAATACATAAAGTACTCATACAACTCAACAAAAGGAAGACAAACAATCCAGTTACTTCTTGAAATGATATGTATTTTATCCAAGTAATTATATGAAGTGCCTGTAGACAATATACTTTTATAATGGATCAGAATTTAAGCTCATGGAATATGATACATTTGATCATTTTGATGAAAAATTGACTTGAATTATACAAAGAGTTTAATTAGCATTTATTTCCAAATCCTTTGGACTTTCATTGCCTCACTTGCTCGTTCAGCTTTTTATCTCTTTATTTGGTCTTCAGTGTAACAAAATGTGTAGAGCATATTTTACACACTTGCTATCTTTTATTTAATTTTGAGATTTTTGTCTTCTATCTCCAATATGGAAAGTTCTGTGTTAGCTGAAAAGATGTTGGAATGCAAATAAGCTGCTAAATATCTTTACTTTTTAAAAATTGATTTTTAAAGATAGAGGAAGGTAGAGGTAGAAGGAGAGGGAGAAAGAGAGAGAGAGAGAGAGAGAGAGAAACATTGATGGGAGAGTGAAACATCAATCAGCTGCCTCTCATGCACCCCTCACTGGGGATCAAGCCCGCAACCTGGGCATGTGCCCTGACTGACAACTGAACCAGCAACCTTCCAGTGCACAGGATGATGCCCAACCAGTTGAGCCACACTGGCCAGGGCCTTTTAAAAAATTTATTTTATTTTTCAATTACAGTTTGCATTCAACAGTATTTTATATTAGTTTCAGGTGTACAGTACAGCAGATAGACATTCTTGTAAGTTATAAAGTGTTTCCTCTGATAATTTAAGTGCCCACCTGGCACCATAGATAGTTACCACAATATTGTTGACTATATTCCCTATGCTTTACCTTTCATACTTGTACCTATTTAATAACTATCAATTAGTTCTTCTTCTTTTTTTTTTGTTAATCCTCACCCAAGGATATTTTTCCATTGATTTTTATTTTTTTTTATTTTTTATTTTTTTATCCTCACCTGAGGATATTTTTCCATTTTTTGTACAGATAGAGTGGGAGGGAGAGAGAGAGAGAAACATCGACGTGAAGAGACACATCGAGTGGCTGCCACCCGCACGACCAACTAGGGCCGGGGACAAACTTGCAACCGAAGTACGCGCCCTTAGCGGGAACCGAACCCGGGTCTCTCCGGACCGCAGGCCGACGCTCTAACCGCTGAGCCAAACTGGCCAGGGCTGATTTTTATTTTTATTTTTATTTATTTATTTTCTTATCCTCATCCGAGGACATTTTTCCATTTTTTGTTCAGGTAGAGTGGGGGGGGGGGGGGAGAGGAACAGAGAGAGAGAGAGAAACATCAATGTGAAAGGGACACATCAAGTGGCTGCCACCCACACAACCGACCAGGGCTGGGGACAAACTGCAACCAAGGTACATGCCCTTAGCGGGAACCGAACCCGGGTCTTTTAGGACCGCAGGCCGACACTCTAACCGCTGAGCCAAACCGGCCAGGGCTCCATTGATTTTTAGATAGAGTGGAAGAAAGGGAGGGGGATAGACAGAGAGAGAAACATCGACGTGAGAGAGTCATTGATTGGTTGCCTCCTGCACGACCCTGAATGGGGCTGGGGTTGAACCTGCAACTGAAGTACATGCTCTTGGCTGGGAATCAATCCTGTAGCCCTTTGGTCCCTAGGCCAATGCTCCAACTGCTGAGCCAAACCAGCCAGTGCCAATTAGATGTTCTTAATCCCATCATCTTTTCTCACCCTGCCCCCTAATATCCCTCTCCTCTGGCATCCATCAGTCTGTTCTCTGTATCATTAAGTGTGTATTTATAAGTCTACTTCTATTTTTGTTTATTCATTTCTTTTGTTCTTTAGATTCCACATATAAGTGATATCATATGGTATTTGTCTTTCACTGTCCAGCTTATTTTACTTAGCATAATACCCTCTAGGTTCATTCATGCTGTTACAAATAGTAGGTTTTCATTCTTTAAAAACATTTTTTTTTCTTTATTGCTTTTTTTTTTATTAATTAATTTTTGTTACAGATGTTTCTCCTTTTCCCCCCCACTGATTCCCCCCTCCCTCTCCCTCCCTGCCCTGTCCCCAGCTTTGATGTCCATGTCCATTGTTCATGCATACATGCATATAAGTTCTGTGGTTTATCTCTCTCACATCACCCCCCTCTTCTGGGGATTGTCAGTCTGTACCCCACTTCCACGTCTCTGGGACTACCCCATTCCTCAGACTGTTATGTTCATTATATTCCACAAATAAGTGAGATCATATGATACTTGTCTTTCTCTGTTCGGCTTGTTTCACTTAGGATGATACTTTCCAGGTCCCTCCATGTAGTCTCAAAGGATAAGAGATCTTTCTTTCTTACAGCTGCATAGTACTCCATTGTGTATATGTACCACATCTTTTTTATCCACTCGTCTACTGATGGACACTTGGGCTGTTTCCAGATCTTAGCTATTGTAAATAGTGCTGCTACAAACATGGGGGTACATATATTCTTTCTGATTGGTGTTTCAGGCTTCTTAGAGTATATTCCTAGAAGTGGGATCTAAAAACATTTTTTTTTCTTTATTGATATTAAAGAGAGAGGAAGGGAGGGGGAGAGAGAGAGATAGAAACATTGATGAGAGAGAACATTGATTGGCTATCTCCTACATGCCCCCCACTGGGGATTTGGCCCACAACCTGTGCATGTGCCCTCACTGGGAATCAAACCGGTGACCTCTTGGTGCATGGGTTGGTGCTAAGATTTCATTCTTTTTAAAGGCTAAGTAGTATTGTATTGTATATATGTATCACAGTTTTTTTTTTTATCTCCTCATCTATTGATGGGTACCCAAGTTGCTTCCATGTCTTGGCTCTTGGTTTAATTAGATTGAACATTTATTTTACTTCCTTTTTCTTTGATGACTTAAACTTTATTTTAAATTTATATTTGTTTTTCTTATTTGTTGTTGAGGATTGAAAAGAGGGAAGATTGTTCTCCCCTTTATGCCTTCTCTTTCTTTCTTCATTGCTCCAACTGGTGCCCATGTGCTTTCAGGCACTTCCTGGGCTAGCTGCAGCTCTTTTGCACAGAGCCAGCCATGGCTTATGTGCTGGACAACAAAATCTCCTGAGCTTGGGCTGCTTGCTGATGTGACCCCAGGCAGTTTCTCTGGGTTTGGTGTGGAATGGGAACCCTGAAAGGCAAGCTAGTTATGGGTTGGTCCTCACATACTTATAAAATAATAATAATAATGATATTAATAATAATAATTATTATTGAAAAGCATGCCAAAGTATATCTGTCAGGGGCTTATTGTGTGCCAGACCTTGTGTATAAGTAAATACTCTCTATTCTTTTTCTTTTCTTTCTATTCTTTATCTAATTAAATCCTCACAGAAACTTTCAGGTGGGTACTAGGATTACCCCCATTCTGCAGATGAGGAAACCGGGGTGCGGAAAGGTATCCTGTGGAAGATCACTCAGCATATGCGTGGCAGAGCCTGGAATGGCACCATCAGCCATCTCTAGGGCCTGAGCTTCACTGACAACTTCGCTTCACTGTAAAATTCACATTCTCTTGACTTACTGGCCTTTTGTTATCCTACTAATTCAGCATGTCTGTTGGGACTTTTCTGCCTTCTCTGCCTTGCTCAGGGAAATCAGCAGACAGGTTTTTGGATCTCAAATAGGTCTGGTAAGAGGCAAGCAGTATAGTCTGAGGCCAGGGGTCCTTCATCTCAGAACAATGATGTTAATTTAGAATTTTAGTCCTTTTTCTTTTGGGGGAGATATTATTGGTTCTACCAAGTTATATTTTTGTGTCTTCTGTATCAGTAAGACACTATTTATTTGCCAGCCCTTATACTAGGTTCTGGGTATATAGTATTGAGCAGGAGAGATGCTGTCCCTGCTATAAAGCTCACACTCTAGTGGGGAAGAGAGAAAGTGAGCAAACATGATTGTTTTGCTATGGAAAGAAACATGTTCCTAAAGAACCTCACATTCTGTAAAACCACCACTAAAACTATCAGGGCTCA